CTGTACGTTCTTTCGAATACGGTTTCTTTCACTCAGCATGTTTTTGTCCATGTGGTTGCCTATATCAGTAATTTATTCATTCCTTATTGCTGAGTAGTATTTCATTGTTTGCATATAGCACAAGTTGTTTATCCCTGGACCTACAATGAACATTTGAGTTGTTTCCAAGTTTTGGCATTTTCATTTTTGAGGAAACAGTGGGCCCTTGATATCTAGTGGCTCTCTGTTTAGCTTTGCAGGATATGGAAATCAGTGCTTATGGTTCTGCATCCCCAGGTATACCACCTGACCTTCTTGTTTGTGGTTTGGATGTCACCTTGGGGTGCTTCAACTCATTGTTGGGCTGCCGTGAGTGGTGGAGAAACCCAAGCACTTCTGTCAGGACTCCAGTCTCTAGGAATCTATTTTTAGTGTGGTAACAAATCTCTTTGTGTTTCTCCTTTTTATTCTCATATCCTATTCTCATATTCTTTATTTTATTTGTTCTCATATCTTTTATTATCATATCCTCATATTGTTGTCCCAAGTTCACTCATGTGAGATCTTTAAGGGGTTTAGGCAGGTAGTGGGAAGGAATGAATAAAAAGGTGGAAGGAAAATGAAGAAAGTGCACTTTCTGCTTTCTTCCTTGCCACAAAGATTGTGTAAGGCACATAATATTGTGCTTCAAATTTGATTGGGGAAGTGGCAAAGTACAGATAAAAACACTATGAGACAGCACTTAGATTAACAGCTTCATAATTATCTAACTGTACAGGGCATTCTATCCCTATTAAAATAAATCCATCACTCAGGCTAGAGCACAAGAAGCAAAATTAGTGGTCCCGTGTCAAAAGACTTTTTTTTTTTTTATTGTTCTTTAGGTGAAATTTTACAGAGCAAATTAGTTTCTCATTCAACAATTTATACAAAAATTGTTTTGTGATGTTGGTTGCAATCTCTGCAATGTGTATATGTTCTCCCTTTCCACACCACAATTCCCCATTTCCTTCAGTCCATTTTTCCTATCCTTTCCTACCATCTCGTCACTGCTGTTGGGCAGACATTGCCCTTTTGGTGTCATATACATGACTGAACTAAGAAGCACTCTCTGCGTGTGTGTTATTGTTTGTTTTATAGACCTGTCTAATCTTTGGCTGAGGGTTGAACTTCAGTAATGGCTTCAATTCTGAGTTAAAAGGGTGTATTGGGGTCAAAGTCGTGGGGATTCTTCCCGTCTCTGTCAGACCAGTAAGTCTGGTCTGTTTTTCCTTTTGTGAATTTGAGGTTCTACATTTTTCTCCCACTCTGTATGGGACCCTCTATTGTGATCCCTGTCAGAGCAGTCGGTGGTGGTAGCTGGGCACCATCTGGTTCTTCTGGGCTCAGGCTGGTAGAGTCTGTGGTACTTGTGGTCTGTTAGTCCTTTGGACTAATGTTTCCCCTGTGTCTTTCGTTTTCTTCATTCTCCTTTGCTCTGGATGGAAAGGAATCAGTAGAAGTATCTGACATGGCCAGTCACAAGCTTTTAAGACCCCAGATGCTACTCACCAAAGTTGAATGTAGAACACATTCTTTATGAACTATGTTATGCCAATTGACCTAGATGACCCCTGCAATCATGGTCCCCAGCCCTTAGCCCCAGTAAATCAGTCCCTCAGGGGGTTTTGGATGTATCTATGAAGCTCCTATGACTTTGCCTTGGTCAAGTTGTGCTGACTTCCCCTATACTGTTAACTCTTTCCCTTCACCAAAGTTAACACTTGTCTACTATCTAGTCACCAATTTTCCCTCCTCGCCTTCTTCTCCCTTGTAACCATCAAAGATTGTTTTTTCTGTGTGTAAACCTATTCTTGAGTTTTATAATAGTGGTCTTATACACTATCTGTCCTTTTGTAATTGACTTATTTCACTCACCATAATGCCCTCAAGATTCATACCTGTTGTGAGATATTTTGCAGATTCATCATTGTTTTTTATCATTGTGTAGTACTCCATTGTGTGTATGTACCATAATTTTTCTTATCTATTCATCTGTTGATGGGCACTTAAGTTGTTTTCATCTTTTTGCTATTGTGAATAATGCTGCAATGAACATGGGTGTGGATATGTCTATTCGTGTGATGGCTCTTATTTCTCTAGGATATATTTCTAGGAGTGGGATTGCTGGGTCACATGGTATTTCTATTTCTAGCTTTTTAAGGAGCACCATATCATTTTCCATAGTGCTTATACCATTTTACAGTCCCACTAGCAGTGCCTAAGAGTTCCAATGTCCTCACAACCTCTCCAACATTTGTTATTTTCTGTTTTTTTGATTCATTTCAGTAATGTTGGGGTCAGATAGTACTTCATTGCAGTATTGATTTGCATTTCTTTAATGACTAATGATCATGAGCATTTCCTCACGTGCCTGTTAGCCCTCTGGGTGTCTTTTTTGGTGAAATATATGTTCATATCCTTTGCCCATATTTTAATTGGATTATTTGTCTTTTTGTTGTTGAAGTGTTGCAGTATCTTGTAGATTTTAGAAATTAGACCCTTTTCAGATACGTTGTAGCCAATTTTTTTCCCCAGTCTGTAGGTTCTCTTTTTACTCTTTCTGTGAAGCCTTTTGATGAGCGTAAGGGTTTAATTTTTAGGAGCTCCCATTATCTAGTTTATCTTCTGGTGTTTGTGCATTGTTAGTTATGGTTTGTATTCTATTTATGCCATATATTAGGGCCCCTAGCATTGTCTCTATTTTTTCCTCCATGATCTTTATAATTTTATGTTTCATATTTAGGTTTTTAATCCATTTTGAATTAGTTTTTTTGTATGGTGTGAAGTACAGGAACTGTTTCATGTTTTTACAGATGGACATCCAGTTTTGCCAGCACCGTTTGTTAAAGAGGCTGTGTTTTCCCCCATTTAATGGACTTTGGGTCTACGTCAAAATCAGCTGAATGTAGGTGGATGGATTTAAGCCTGGATTCCCAATTCTGTTCCCTTGATCTATGTGTCTGTCATTTTACCAGTGACAGGCTGTTTTGACTATAGCAGCTGTATAGTAGTTTCTGAGATCAGGTCGTGTGAGGCCTCCTATTTTGTTCTTTTTTTTCAGTAATGCTCTACTTCTCCAGGGCCTCTTTCTTTTCCATATAAAGTTAGTGATTAGTTTTTCCATCTCATTAAAGAATGCTGTAGGTATTTGGATCAGGATAGACTTATATCTGTAGATTGCTTTGGGTAAAATTGTTATTTTCACAAGATTGAGTCTTCCTATCCATGAACATGGTATGTTTTTCCATTTATGTAGGTCTCTTTTGGTTTCTTACAGTAGAGTTTTGTAGTCTTCTTTGTATATGCCTTTTACATCCTGGTCAGATTTATTCCTAAGTATTTTTTTGGGGAGGACGGTTATGAACAGTATTGTTTTCATGATTTCCTTTTTGAGGTTCTCTTTGTTGGTGTATAGGAATCCAAATGATTTTTGTATGTGGATCTTGTATCCTGCTACTCTACTGACTCTTTCTATTAGTTCCAGTAGTTTTCTTGTGGAATATTTGGTGTTGTCTATGTATAGGGTCACATCATCTGCAAAGAGGGATAATTTTATTTTTTTTTATTATTGTACAGACTTTCAAAATAATGCTAATCTGGCTTCCAATATTTAATTTAGATACACAGACAAACATGTATGCACATGTGCAAATGTACACATACACACACACACACACACAGAAAGTTCTAGTAACTCTGGTTCCTTAAGACAATAAGTTAATAATCCCAAGAGTATTTTGGTTAAAAAAAAAAAAAAAAAAAGATGAGCCTGAAGGAGTAATATCTACATTTTCTCATTAATCCACTTTTCAGCAAATATGTTTATAATATCAGTTAACCACGTGGAAGTTATTTATGGGACAATTGTATGTACATGTGCTTACAAAAACAAGTGACCTCTTTAGGCCTTCCCTGGCTGCCCTGTCTGCAGTTTCCAATGAATCCTTCAATATTTTATAATGTATTACCCTAATTAATTTCTTCTCCTCAGCACTCTCCACACTGTAGCACTCTGAATATTCCAAATACTACTTGGGCTTCATGTTTGTCTTCCCCTCTTGAATGTGAGACCAGGTGGGCATAAATCATTGTCTTTTATGTTCACTATTGTAGCTCCAGAACATAGAACAGTGCCTGGCAAGGAATAGGTCATCCGCATATAATTGCCAAATGAATCAACGGATGAAATACATAGGAATTCTCTCACACACACAAAAATAAACTTACCTAGATGATCTGCAAATAAATAACCTTGTATATTTTTCCAGTGGGAAATATTTATACTCATAATAATATCATAACTTATTGAGTGCTTACTATGTGCCAGGCAGTGTTCTAAGCAGTTTCCACATTTTCACTTACTTAATACTTACAACTGTTTATATATGTACGATTAAAAAAGCATGACAGTTAGGGAAGCCAACACATAGGAAAGTTCAACACCTGGCCCAAGAATGGATAGTTAAACTGTGATGTCAGACATTCTGAATCCAGAATCTGAGTTTTAGTTTCTATCATAGAGTGTCCCTCAAAACTGACCTATCAGTAAAAGAAGAGCATTAAGGTAAGGAAATATTTGACTCTGGTTATAAATGTTTCACTGCTAAAAGCAGAACATCTTCCTAGCATTACACACAACTCCTGTGGCTGAATGTATGGCAGAGTTGTGGGTTACAGCATGGGCACAGTGGATCACCTCCTTCAAAAAACTAAGTTGATTCTTCCAGTGAATTGGAGATTCTTTGTTGTGTGAGTTTAAGGGTATACATTCTTTCTCATATCTTTTATATTTTTCAATCCCCTGTCTTCTTATACTCAGACTGTATCAAAGTGCTAGTGAAGAGAATTTTCCAAGGATACACTCCCTGATGCAGTCTAAGATTCAGCAATCTGAATTCTTTGGAGGAAAAAAAAAGTGACATACATATGTATAGTGGTTATTTCTCAATCTGAATACACGCCCTGCCTGAAAAGGAAGGTAGAAGATGCTTTCAGTTTCATACCACACAACAAGGGTGAGAGGAAAGGGCCATGGAGGCGGGTGAGTTTTTACTGTCTAGGTTTTTACTGTCTAAAATGATATGTCTTGAGGAAGAAATCACTTTTGCAATGGGTTGGCTTTTTCAGAACCCTTAATTAGGTTCTGTGAATGTTTGTAGGAGTAGACTGAGAGATTGGGAAAAGAGGGAGGGAAGAGGGCAGACAAACAGAGGAGGAAAGGGGCCCAGACGCTTTTGCAGCCTTTATGAAGAGGAAATCAAGGGATAAAAGGGAACTGGGGCTTTACTCTTATCAGGCTTTCATTGTGCAGTGTTAACTGAATTCTCAAATGGGATGAGCCTGACTAAGGGTGCAGAATGAGCCCAGGATAAGAACCAGCAGCTGTTGCCCTCAAAGGAAACAGGCTAACACTCAGCCTCATTCGGGGTTGAGTAAACACAGGGCATGTCAGAAGAATCTCTGATCCTCAGGTGCTAACTCAGGGAGAGTAAAGCCCAGTCTCCAGGCCACTCAGTGAGCAAATGTGGGTAATAATGAGGGAAGAAAATGGGACAGGGGTAAATCACCCAAACCCACTGCCACTGAGTTGATTCTAATTCATAGCGACCCTATAAAACAGAGTAGAACTGTCCCATAGGGTTTCCAAGGCTGTAAATCTTTACTGAAGCAGACTGCCACATCTTTTCTCCTGCGGAGTGGCTGGTGGCTTCAAACTGCTGACCTTTTGGTTAGCAGCCGAGTGCTTTAATCACTGTGCCGCCAGGGCTCCTTGGGACGGGGTAGAATTAAAAAATTCTCTATCCTCAGGATTACTGACCTATGTGGTGAGAGGTGTTTTTTTTTTTAACTGATTAAATTTAAAGGATATTACTTCCTGATGCCGACATGAGCAGAGAATTCGGCTGTTTTCAGGACTTAGGGAATCCTTATTCTTCCAACAGACAAAGTCCTGCTGGAGAAGAGGAAGCTGTTTATCCATGCAGTGAACGAGGGCACAATAAATGGCTTGCTGGATGAACTATTAGAAAAAAAAGTGCTGAACCAGGAAGAAATGGAGATAATAAGACGTGAAAATGCTACAGACATGAAAAAGGCCCGAGCTCTGATTGACCCCGTCATTCGGAAAGGGCGCCGGGCGTGCGAGATTTGCATCAGTCATATTTGTGAAGCAGACCCCTTCCTTGCAGAGAAGATGGGACTCTGCTCAGGTAAGCAAAGGTCGATGACTCAGATTAAAGTTCAAGTAGGTCTTGAACTGAACATCTGATATCTCCATTAGTTGTGTCAGTGTGCAGACAACTCCCTTGCCTCTGAACTCAGGGACCCATTTCTGTCCGTGGTTCTATCTCAGGTCTCCCATCTCTTTGGCTTTTCTTCCTTGTTCCTTTGTCCTCTGTTTCCTTCTGTTGATTCGAGCTCATTTGCTGTCCTGTGTACTTGGTAGCTCATGTTTTGAAGTTTATGGGAACAATCTGAAAACTTCATCCTGCACTCCGTCCCCTGGCAAGTCATATTATTACCATTTTTTGTTTTAATTTGTATTTTTTGCTAAATTCAGAGATGTCTAGGCACGTGTATATAGTTGCCTAATATGAAGACCTCAAGTCTATCTTTTCCACCACACAGTTGTAATGAAATACTTTTTACCATATCCTTAAAATTTTTGCTTTCCAGCAGGAATTTATATTCCAGTGATGGTGGAACATTCAGAAACTAAGTGGAATATTTGTAGAAAAGGAAGGAATTTAAGTGAACTCTTTCCTCCAGTTGCCTCTTGTTTTTTCTTTTGGGTAAGATTGTCCACTTGAATGGTACTAGGCTGAGGACCATTCTGTGAGGCCCAGCCCCTCTACCTCAAGTTCTCTTGTGGGCCCGCACAGGGGCTCAGGCATCTGAGCTGGTCCTAAGGCTCCTTAGTCCCTATACACAGTGAAGATGGAAGCTCTGGAGGATGGCCAGGCACTGATCTGAGTTGCACTTCCCAAAGCCACTGCAAAGTGGGCAGATGTTTTTGAAAACATGTAGCCTGTTTTCTAGGGAATAGAGGAAGCTTATGCCTGTCTGAAGGAGCCTTGGTGACAAAGTGATTAAAGCTTTTGACTGCTTACAAGAAGGTTGGCAATTTAGAACCTCCAACAGCTTTGAGGTAGAAAGATGTGGCAGTCCACTTCTGTATAGATTTACACCTTGGAAACCCTATGGGATCACTATGAGTTGAGATCAGCTCGATGGCAGTGGGTTTGGTTTTTGGATGCCTGAACTGACATAGCAGATGCCATCTCCATCTATTTGTAATTTCTTGTTTTTACTTACAATCTCTTTCTTATTTTACACTCTCTATCCCATAGCCAAATTAAAGACAATAACAATAACAATGAAAACTAATAGTAAAAAAGTCAAAGCTTCTTCTTTGCCACATTCCTTTCAATCCATAGTCCTTGAATCCTAGAGGCATTTGCACAACCCACTGAGACATTTCTAACACCTGAGTCCTGTCTCTCTAGGTATCAAACAATAATCCCTTCAATCAGATTTGTCATTGCTTTGCCTCCACGCATCTTTTCGTCAGTTTTTTATGACCATAAAAAAAATTTCTTACCACAAAATAACAGCAATACATGGTAGTTGCTTCTTCTTCCTCTTCTTCATATTAGTGCTCACCGTGAAATGATACAAAGAATATAGGCAATGGGGAACAGAATACAAAACACTTAAGATTACAAAATACTTTCCAGAAATTCTCAGACAGCATAGCATTAAACTTATAAAATGATCTAACCCATGTGTCAAGAATCTCTTTGGATCATGAGGATTTTCATGGTTCATGAGCCTGGGTTGGAGATCAAAGGAGATTTATTAATATTAATGGTGAATAAATATGAAACAAATATTTTCAGAACCTTTTGGGGAAATTTTAGTGACTTTTCATCAGTGTCTGTGATTCTAGGGTAAAGGAGACATTCCTAATAAACTTCTCTTCCCAAAAGCAGATTGAAAGACTTTGTGAGTTCCAGCATTTCCATTAACCTCACAATTCCCAGACTCTAAAGAAGGTCCTGGGACAACTTCACCAATTAATTCATCTGAAACTTTGAGCTAGTTTTTTGAGCAGGCCACCTCACCATTTGCTGCTGTGATAAATCCTGGCAAGGCTAGGTGCCCAGCATACGGGCCTTTTCTTTATAGTTCTCTCCAAAGCCCAATTCAGCTCTGAGGTGGAAAACTTCACTTGCACACACCTGTTATGCACTAGTGGTCACCTCAGGAACCACCATGAAACACCCATATCAAGAGATTTATTGATTCTACAGCTGATTATGTCTCAATTCCATTTTGATCATAGAAAGCAGAGGTCAACACAGTTACCTCCAAACATTCTTTTGTTCTACCTCAAGTGTTAAATAACTGTCCACTCGATCACTGTGTAGAGGCTTTTGTTTCCCAGTGAAGAGTTTGGTTTCAGGTGAGTCACACCTTGGACAGGTACAATTATCATCAGGCCAGTGGAAAGAATTTTCAGTAAGGTAAGGCAACATTCTTCAGAGGTGATAAGTGACGATTTTAAGGATAAATCCTTCATATTTCCTCAGGTCTCCAATCTGGAAATGACTTTAATGCACAAGACTTGCCAGCAGTGGCACCTTTTCTACCAGGTAATGGTGTTTTCAGAGGAAGAATCTTCTTTGCACCCCAGCTTCCCTGATATTAACTACTGATCCATGAAGTGAACCCAGGGTGAAGGGGCAATGGATAATTCAAAGAAATCTTTCCTATGCCTTGATCTCTTCTAAATCTCTTCTGCTTTAACAGTCTCGTTAGTTTCCATAGCTTCATTATCTGTGTATATACTCCACAAATTCTGAATTGGTGTCTCAAATCCTGAATAACCACTTGAGTCCCAAACTTCTCTATTCAAGTGCCCACTGAACATATTCACTCAAACCTCCCATATACACTTTTATTTAAATGTACTCAAAGTTGAATTTGCCATTCTTCCTGCAACTGCTTCTCTTCCAGTTTCCCCTTTGTCGGTCGGTGTCACTAACATCATCTAGTTGTTCAAACTAGAAATGTGAAATGCATCTTCAACTCTTTCTCCCTCATCTGCAACGTTGAAGAAATGACTAAATTTATTAATTCCTCCCTGCAACAAGAATCGGTCTCTCCATTTCTTCTTCTACTACAACATTGCAAAGCCCCTTTTCCTACAGTGCCCTAGAGTTCTTCAGCCATAACTCTCCTTACGTTTTTCTTGCAATATTTTTGATACATTAATTGTTTTTGCCTCACTGTTCTATAAGCCTTATAAGCAAAATTGGACATGTCTGGCTTATTCATAACTATGGTCTCAGCTGAGTACAGCCGTCCTTCAGTATCCGTGGGGATTGTTTCCAGGACCCCTACCAATACCAAAATCTGCAGATGCTCAAGTCCCTTGTATAAAATGGCGTAGTATTGGCATATAACCTATGCACATCCTCCCACATGCTTTAAATCACTTCTAGATTACTTATGATACCTAATACAACGTAAACGCTATGTAAATAGTTTTATACTGTATTGTTTAGGGAATAATGAGCAGACACGAGGCAAACAATGCTCAAACAAGGAGTGCTGGAGAGAGACTGAGAATCTGTGAAATGGTGGGAGGCTCTAGCACGGTATGCCTATACATTTCATTAGTGTGGATTCAGCATGGTACTTGACACCCAGCAAATTCAAGTTTGGCATTTTGGAATTTTCTTTTTTTCCAAATGTTTTCATTGTCAGTTGGTTGAATCAGCGGATGTGGAGCCACTGAGGGTCAACTGTACTTGGATCATAGTATGCATGGAATAAATATTTGGTAAATATTGTTTCACTGAATGATTTCATCAGTACCACTAATATTTACTAGGTCATTAAAAATATATATATATATATATACATCACATGCCAACTAGGATCCATGGCTTGTTCTATGGACTGATTTGAGAGTAATAAACCAAACACCAAAAACCATGCTTTTATTGAGTTTACATGAATGTGTGAAGCGTGAATGAATAGGGATATAAGAATAACCTTCATCAAATTAAGACTATATAAAAATTTAGCAATAAAAATACCACTAAGCACATTTGTATCAGTGAAGGTAACATTGTACGCTGTAAAAAAAAAAAAAAAAAAACAAAACTCTCCTCACAGGTATCATAACTCAGACATAACAAAAATGTATTTATTGATTTAACTTTATTTATTTCATAAACTTTACTCATGAAAATTATAAAATGCGCATTCTTGATCACTAAGAAGCTCACCTCCAAGTGGTGATTCAGACATCTAGAACCCTTCCTACTTGTGTCTCGATATCTGCCACATAAGATGCCCAAGTAGTCTTGTTCATCACCATCCAGTTTGTGGAATTGGAAAGACACATGGAGGATCATTTACTTGTGTTCATATTCCACTGTATAGAACCCTGTCACATAAGTACACCTAACTGTAAGAGTGATTGGAAATGTAGACTAGCTGTGTGCCCAGGAAGACAAAGAAATAGTATTTTTGAAAACTTAGCCTGTACTTGCCACAAAACTTGAAGCAAAAACTTTTCATTGCACACAATATTAGAAGTAGCACATGAATTTCCTAACTTCCAAATGATAAGGAAGATACTAAAAGTTTTTAGTGCTCTACCCGACAAGGTCAACATGCTCCAGGTTTCTTTCTGGCACATCTTGTTTTTATATGAATACAGCCCCACCCTTACCAAATAATCAGTATTTTAATTGTTCTAGAGCACATTTTCACCCCCAATTCTGGGATGATTTCATCCTGAAATGCCATTTTTCACTTGGAATAAAATAACCTTATATATAGAAGAAATTTAGTGGACAGGGTATCAAATATTTCACCAGACTCAGAAATCGCTCTACAGATTCATTAAGGGTGATTATCCAATATATGCTTGTTTGAATATTTGATAGGAAAGGACACTCAGCATATAACCAGATACCCTATTCTTTTATTAAGAAACATTATAATTGTGAGCCAAATCTTTCCACTTAATTTTTCCCATTGTTCCCCTTCTTCTCAGAGACAGAACATTTCTCCCTTCTAATGATGATTTCTATGGTTTTTTCCAACATATCTATCTATTTCTTACTTTTTCCATAGTCAACACACTTCATGCTGCCTTGGTTTACCTATACTAAATATACAACAGTTTCTTCAAATTCCTCTTCAAGTTGTAATTCAAAATTGAATATACTTTTCTAGTTAAGTAGTTTACTTTCAAAAGAACTCAACAAATATTTAGGAAACTTATTTTTATTTTGAAACTGACAAATATTACATTAACTTCTTTTAGGAAGTAATCACATTGTCAGATGGTGTTTAACTTGCGATCAAATAGAGCCTCAGGACTTTTCCTACTTATAACTCTGTGAAAACTCTTCCTCATATGTTTACATAATCAATGTGTAATGCTATAAGTACATCTAGTGTGCACCTTGACTGTATTATTTATCAATCTATTTCATATTCATTCTAGTTCATATATTCAATACCCTCCCTCTTCTCTGCACATGTACACACCGTAGATAGACATCTTAGAGGACAAAGGTTTCTCTTCTTCATTTCATCTTTGTCATCATCATCACCTTTGTCTTGTGCTTTTATATCCCTAGGGTACAGTATTAGGCCTGTTCAGTAAATAAGTAAGTAGATAAATATACATCCTTTACAAACATTAAATACAGTAATTAAGATCTATTTCCATTGCTTTGTATCCTAGGCTTTTCATCTTACTAAAGAAATTTACATCTTAATTATTTTATCTAACACTGGTTATTTTTCTGAGACTTTTGCTATTCCTAGCCTTGAAAAGCTCCCTTTCTGTGTTTTTATACCAAAATATTTATGCTTTTATCCCCAAAGTATTGATCCTGAAGGATAAAGGTAGATCCCTGTGTCTCACCAAAGGAAATTTCCCTCTCGCTTGGTATGTGTCCAATTAGCAGTGAACTTAGTTAACAATGTTAACAACTAGCCCAAGGTTCTCCTCCTAAAAGTGTATTTACTCCTCTCTGGCTGCATGCACAGATGATGCCGTGAGGAATGTCAAGCAGGAAAAGCAGGGATACCATTATTCATAGTGTTTCTTGTCTCTTGCAGCCTCCTGGGCAGCGCAGGACAAACCAGCTGAGTGCACATCCTCAGAGCCAGGAGGGATGCTTAAGCTTTGCTCACCAGAAACAGCGCACAGGATATGGAATGAAAAGTCAGCCGAGGTGTTGTGGTCAGAACACAAGGATCAGAAGTGAAAGATACACTTCTTTCACTTAAGATGATTTTGAAGGGAAGTGGCTCTTTCTTAGAGCCAATTTCATTGAGGGGTTCACGAAAATCATCATGCTGCTTTCTTATATAAAGGATTCCTATCTCCTAGTATTCCACAGTCACATGGAGAGTCCCAAGTTTGGTGCAATAACTCGAGTAATTAACAACAACAACTTTTGAGTGTTAACTATATGTCAGATATTGCTGAAAGCATTTACATATAATAACATCTTTAAGCCTCAAATAACTTATACTAGTTATTAAAAAAACTGAAGCATGGATAGTTAAGTATTTTGCCCAATATCAAACAAATGGTATTTGGAGGAGTCATTTTTAAAATTCAGTCATTCTGGCTTCAAAGCTGGTGCATGACTTACAACCTTCTCCCTCAAAAGTAATTTAGACCAATCCTCTGCTGCCATCTTGGTATTTGCAAACTCTGTCTCCACTGGTGTAGTCTGACTCATTCCCCTTTCCCATTGTTGTCTGTGGTTCATGGAATTTGGTTTCTGGATAGGGTTAAGAGAGAAGAAACTGCCTTAGACCCTCCAGGTGAATATTTAGTTTAGAGTCTCTCTATTAAAGAAAACAGGACTGTGCATCCAATCTGTATTTTCCACAGATTTACCCAATAAGAGAAAAGTTGAACCGCACACGTCTCGCTCTCATTATCTGCAACATAGATTTTGAGAATCTTCCCAAGAGGGCTGGTGCTGATGCTGATATCAGAGGGATGAAGACACTGCTCGAAGGACTGGGGTACAGCGTGGATGTGAAACAAAATCTCACTGCTTCGGTAAAGTCTATTACTGTAGAAAAAGTGGTCATATACATAATACTCCTAAACAGATTTAGAAAGCTTGGTTTTAGCACCAGGAAATGTAATCTTGTGATATTCTAGAAGATAGTCTTCTCTTTGGAGGTTAATTAATGCTACAGATTCCTTTCCAATGCAGAGTCTTTTAGCAAGATCCTGTGAAAATTTTATTTGGAAAGTGTTGTATTAACTCAATAATGCCCCCCTTTTCTCTGCACTAGAAATCCTTGAATGACTTCCTGTAGCCCTTTTCTTCATCTTTAGCTGAATTGGGACTTAAATTTTCTTTTCCACTCTGCCGTTTTTCATATTACCTAGCAATACCTAAAGTGTCTCTTTGTTTGCCAAGTGCTGTGATAGTGAATCACAAAGTTCAAAATCAGTGGTATGGCTTCTTTCAGGACATGACTGCAGAGCTGAAGACATTTGCTGACTGCCCAGAGCACGAGACCTCTGACAGTACTTTCCTGGTGTTCATGTCTCACGGTATTCGGGATGGTATTTGTGGGAAGAAGTACTCTGAGGGAATCCCAGATGTATTAGAAGTCAACACCATCTTTCAAAGCTTGAACACCCGGAACTGTCCAAATTTGAGAGACAAACCCAAGGTGATCATCATCCAGGCCTGCCGTGGTGGTGAGTGCTGAGATCTGATAGAGCTCAAGACCTTCATGTACTAACCTTATCATCTGTGTACATCCAGTAATCTTCACTTTTTTTGTATCTGCTCCTTAATGACAAAGCATAGCTTTTGTGAGTTGTGTGACTGGCTGGTAGATATTTGTTCTATCGTTAACTACTAAGATACTACTTTTAGTTCTGAGATTTTGATATTTGGAAGTTGTTAGAATTTGAGGGTGAAGAAAGAATAACAATAGGAGTTGTTGAAATGATTTTCCTGAGATGTGTGTGCATATTCATGTGGATGAAAATCGGAGACAAATGAATTAATGAATACAGTTGAACAGAAGTTTAGGGGAGTAAATATGCCTTTGGCAGTTGCTAATAAGAAGAAACTTAATCTTGTCTTTCCAGTGAACCAGGGAGTGGTGTGGTTAAAAGATTCAGTAGAAAATTCTATCAGCAGCTCTTCACTGGCTCCAGAAGATTTTGAGGATGATGCCCTTAAGAAATTCCATGTGGAGAAGGATTTTATAGCATTTTGTTCCTCGACACCAGGTAATGGCAGGCCTCTTGTGGGAGTACCAGTGCAGAGACTCACACCTACCCATTAGATTCCTGTGTTGAACTTTAGATGGGACTTTTCAAGACAACTCAAGCATTCCTTCCAGTCACACCTTCCATTCCCCTTATCCACAGAGGCCAAACATACGTGTATTTGCACTGAATTAGTAATTAGTAAATTCCTCCGTGGTACAAATATTTTTTCTGAAAGTAAAGCCTACCAGAGAATGAATTGAAGAGTTTCTACACTGAAGTAAATGATAATCTGACTTTACAGAGAAAAGATCCATAACAGTAGTCACTGAGCAGTCCAATATGCCTAGACATGATGCGTTTATAGCAGAATAGTGTAGGGGAATGGCAAAAAGGCAGACAAGGTAATCAGGGACATAAGCTGAAAAAACTTTTAATTACAAGTATGGAGTGAATCAAACAGCACAAATCTTAATGGTTACATATTCTAAATCTAGTCTTTGGAATAAGAGCCTTGGAATCATATCCTGACCATGTCATTTAGTACTTTGTAAATTTGTTCCAGTTATTTAGCTTCTGTTAGCTTTCTTTGAATTCCTCAATAACATATGTAAATAAAAATAACACTGTTTTAAGGACTAAATTAGATAATATATATGAATCATTGAACATGACGCAGAGTAAACTACCCATTAAATGACTTCTGTCATTAGTAAAGATGTTATTTTGAAATACAGATTTTGCCTTCAATCACTTTCCTCTCAAGATTTAAATAAAGGTCATTTGAATCCTTCCATCCACTATGTTTTGCAATTTCCTGGGGACTCACATTCCCTTGGTTACTTCTGGCTCTAACCCTTGCCTCTGCTCAAAGAGTTTATGGATTATATCCTGTAATGACACTGCCATCCATCAAGAGATACCCTTGCTCTGAATTGCGTTGACCATGTCCTGATACAGAACTCAATGTTTTGTTTTGTTTTCCCAGTGATCAAAAACCACCACAAAAACAACAAGCAAAAAACCCACACATTTGCAGCTTAAATATATTTAGCACACTTTACTGAATGCTTCGAGAAGAGTTTATGTAGCAGTGACAAAAATGACCTCGAATTTAATATTAGGCAGAACTGTTTCTAAAATCCTTTGATCTCAGTTTCCACAGGAGATTTAGCACTGGATATACAGCCCCATGTGGGTCTTTGGATTCTCAACATACATCATCCTTTATTTGTTTTCTTTTTTTTCCTTCACTTTCCTCACTTCTCCACTCCAGATGGCTCCCGGAAACTTTGACTCAGTTATCTTCAGCTCCCACTACTAAACCTAGCTCCATATTCCCAACCACACCATAGTGTTCCCCTGAGTAAGTAACCATCAACTGCCTTCATTTCAAAAAGGACTTGCAGAGGCATCTTCTGCCATCCACTTCTTTAACTGGAACTACCCTTACAAGACAGCAATGGTTTTAAATAGAATTTTATTCTTTAATTGTCATACATTTTATTACCATTGTCATTGGCTAAACTGTTTGGTTAAAGAACTTGTCCACAGTCATATACACAGCTTTTGCTATCACTTTCCTCTTACACATTTCTTTTTATACTTCAAAAATATCTTCACTACTTCTATGACTCTACTATTCTACATAATGACTATCTTCCTTAATATTCCTCCGCTCCTTAAGACCTTATTGTCCTTCAATAATATATTATCTTTTTCCCCTTAATCCTTCTTAGATTTGCACTTTCTTTCATATGGTACCATTTTCATAATTAGTTAGCATTTTTTGTTCTGTAAATACCTTATGATCAAATATTATTTTGTGTTCATTCAATTATTTATAAAATATGTTTAAAAGTTATTAATATAATAGTCCCATATAGACTGGGTATTATACTCCCCTGTCACTTGTGTTGCATTACATCTAATTCTCAAATATCTTTTTGTAGCAGAAATCATTACCCTTTGCTTTAGAGTTGAGGACATTGACTTTCACAGTGTGTTGTTAAATCAGGATCAGTAAGGGATGTTCTTGAAGCCCACTCTAAGGAATTTCTTCCTCAAGAGCCAATCACTCTCCTCTACACATTCTGCCCTTTCCTCCTCTCTACTACTTTTGTGGCTCCTTGAACTCAGGTGTCATGCCACCTTAATATCATAGTACCCTTAACAATTGTTCAGTGTCAGTAAAAATATTCTCAGTGAACTTTGAGTATATTCACTGAAAAATGGCATGTGGCATAGAGAAAACAGGGTGAACCCGAAAGCCTGCCTAAGCTGGAGTGGCGCTCTTAGGGCTCCCTCTCTGTGGTAAGTCAGGGGTTTGTAATGAGACTTTGAATGTGCTTCATTCACAGATAATGTTTCTTGGAGACATCCAACTTTGGGCTCTCTTTTTATTATAAAACTTATTGAAAAATTTCAAGACTATGCCTGGTCTTGTGACCTGGAGACAATTTTCAGAAAGGTGAGCTCCTAAGCTTCTCCCACTCTACCTCTATGAATGTTTAGCTGTTCCAGTTGGAAACCTACAGAGCAGCTCTGGACATGTTTATCCTCCAATAATGTTCTCCTTTCTAGATGAGTCTTGAGTTTCTTTGCTGAGGTGGTAAACCTGGAAGCCAAACCCAGCCGGCTATGATGCACAACCACTAGAAAACAACCATTTACTTTAATACCCTCCTGCTCTGAAGAGGAAAACTAGGGACTCTAATTTGCCCGTGTCCATCATACCCATCAGATCCAGTCATAGATTTAAAAAGTCTACATTCCATGCTTGAAAGTGTATATAACTATGATTTTTCAAGATGCAAGAACTTTTCTTTTTTTCTTTCATTTATTTTGCTATAGTCATTGCAATTTTTCCAGTTTAAGTGAAGATTCTTCATTCAGAAAGATATGTCTAAGGATTGTCTTTTCTCTTTTAGGTTCGACTTTCATTTGAGTCCCCAGATGGTAAGGCACAGATGCCCACTGTTGAAAGGATGACTTTGACTAGATATTTCTACCTCTTCCCCGGATATTAAAATAAGTAAGCTGTATCAGTGTCTGTGGGCAGTTGTGTGTGTTTGGTAGGGTAAGAGGGAGAGGGTGAAGGCTAAAACTCCATTCTGGTCAAGGTCTAGTATAATAAATAGGGGACACTGTCTGCTACTCAGTGCAGAGCACATTATTCTTTTCTCATACCTCCAGAGAGTTGGGTGGCTCTGTCTCAGGGTCAGCTGGTGTTGATTGAGGGGTGGCCATAATGATCCTCAGTTTGCATTTTCTTGCCTTTCACTTCAACAAGTATAGCATGGACTATGATACATATAGCATGGATCATTATGAGTCTGAATCGACTCGACAGCAATGGGTTCATTCCCTTTCACATGAGGCATTGGTGGTTCAATGGTAGAGTTCTCACCTCTCATGTGGGAGACTCGAGTTCAATCCCTGGTCAATGCACCTCCTGTGGAGGCGCCACCTGTCCATCAGTGGAGGCTTGTGTGTTGCTGTGATGTTGAACAGGTTTCAGTGGACCTCCCAGACTAAGGCAGACTACGAAAAAAGGCCTGATGGCCTTCTTCCAAAAATCAGCCAATGATAACCCTATGGATCACAATGGAACATTGTCCTATCTGCAGTTGATCAAGGGGATAGCGCAAAGCTGGGCAGCGTTTTGTTCTGTTCTGCATGGCGTCACCATGAGTCGGGGGCTGATTTGGAAGCAGCTAACAACAACAGCAATATTCCCTTTTACAAAAGTGTTGTTGTTAGATGTCATCGAGTCGGTTCCGACTCATAGTGGTCATATGTACAGCAGAATAAAACAGTGCCCATTCTTACGCCATCCTCAGAATCGCTGGTACGCTTGAGCCTATTGTTGCAGCCACTGTGTCAATCCATCTCATTGAGGGTCTTCCTCTTTATTCGCTGCCCCTCTACTTTACCCAGCATGGTGTCCTTCTCCAGGGACTCATCCCTCCTTTACAAAAGCATATGTCCCCAAAGATGGAATGATCTTATAATTTTCATTATTTTAGTACAACAATTCTTCATGTGTTTTCTTTCCTTTGTTTTTATTTTCTTTTTACTCCAGGAAGCCAGGAATTCTGTCATTCTGTGCCTGTTTTTGGAATCATGTCTGCGGAGCATGGACCTTTCTTTAAACATTCAAATAAATCTGAAATAAAAATGAAAATTTGTACTTTTGGATTTTTTACCAGGCTGGGAGGACAGGGGGTAGAGCAGGAAGGGGTTATTGACATTGGCGTATTTTGACTTGTTTCATATGAGATAAACTCACTAATACCACTATTCTTTCAAAAAATCTTTTTCTGGACATTCTGCTTTAAAGATCGGAAGAGAGCCAGAGTAGATACTTGATGTCAAAGAATTTGGAGCTTGGCAGGAAAGATGTGTAGAAAACTGAGAGTTACAAACAAGTGTGATGAGTGACTAACCTGAATTCCCAGAGTTTACTACTGGTAAAGCCATGACTAGAACCTACATATTTCTATTCTTTTAAGGCACTTGAGGATACAAAATAATTTTGATTCAATCCCAGACCCCTAGTATGTACCATCTCATTAAGAAGACCAGAGAGTCAACAAATATGGAACAATTAGTGGACAGTACATGACACCCTATGAATAACTCTAAGATGTGAGCTTTGTACAAAATAATGTTCCTGGGTGATGCAGTGATAATGAATTTGGGATGAAATCCTTCACTCAGCAAGTTTTTGGCTTAAGAAGGGCTGGAAGAATAACTACCCCTTCATTTGCAAGTATAAGCCTCTTTCTAATCTTAACCCATCGTAAGTGAAAATGAATTCAAAGACCCTCAAAATTGAACATGCCATGGGCTTTTTTTTTTTTCTTTCACTACCTATTCTTCTAGATATATCTTCTTTGTGCTATCATGCATTCTTTCTACTACAGCTTGAGCCTACTTTTGTGATCATTCTGTTCAGACGATATGAAAAAGGGAGGTGAACAAGGAGCCTCAATGAAAATAAAAATGTTAAGGAAGTCGAAGGCGAGGCCAAGATGATGGAGTAGTCAGACGGCTTCTTATATACCTCTTACAACAAAGGCCTGGGAAAACAAGTGATTTGATTATATATGACTATATTGGAGCCCTGAACAAGGTAAAGTTGAAGAATCGGACTGAAAGGCAGGTGGAGAGGGAGACGGTTCGGAAGAAGTGAGGAGTGAGAGACCGGACTCAGCTGGTGCTGCAGCTCTTCAGCCCCTACTGGCTCAGAGGTGCTCCGTGAAACAGGCATACAGCTCTGCCTGTGAGCTCAGGAGTCAGTTTCCACATTGAGAGTGATCTGGCAGCAGAGATTCTGCTTGGATGCTCTGAACCAGTGAAAAGCAGCTCGCAAGTGGCTAAAGATGAGTACATGTGAATGGCCTTTCACAGGGATTTGAAAAAAAAAAGCCCATTTGGGAAAAACCTCTCTCCCTTTTACCTCCTCCCTCCCCACTCTGTACTGGTCTGGCTGGCTTCTGAAGTCTCTAAGTCCCCTGGATTGGAAGTAGATCCCATAAGGCACCCTGATCCATTCTCCTAGCCTTGGAGAGGGAATAAGTAAACTACTGGCTCCCCTAAGCCAGGAACTCAGAGTTGGCACAGCTCCTTTGCTAGGCACAGGCATAAGGGATCCGCAGACTTTGAGTGCCTTCCACCCCTGTATAGACTTGTGTGGATCCTTCTCAACAGCATAAGCCCTCACTACCACAGTACAACAGGGTAAACATCTGAAGTCTAACTTCAACTGTTTCAGCTGTGAAGTGGCAGATTTGCGAACCTTGACACAGCCCAACCCTTTAAGCAGGCACGTTTACCAGTCTGCACTAAGGGCTTGAGGACCTGTGGCTCCACCTAGGCCACCTGGTCACCTGCTACAGGGGTCCAAGAATAAGTGGTGTCCCTGAGTCTTTACAGCCAACAGAGTAGGGTGCTCATAGTCAGGCTGCAAAACTCATCTACCTACTTGCTCTAGGGAATAGGGACATGCTTTCCTTTCAGACACTCAGGAGCAGCTGTCAGCCCCCTGCCTTGCTCAATGTGTGACACCCTACTGCAGCCAGATACCTGTGCCTACACCTATCACCCATGCCTAAGGCTGTAGGTGAGAGCCTACACCACACACCAGGATGCCTCAGCTGAATTCCATACAGCAAAATTTAACGGACTCTTGCGTGCACATACTCAGTTACAAAACTAACTACCTGGTGACAGGACGTCAGAGCTTCAAAGGTGCCAATAATCAAACTAGCGCACACGAGCAGCCTATTTGGGCATATCAAAACAAAACAAGAAACTAGGACACACTAAACAAATATAAAATAAAATTATAATAACTTATTGATGGCTCAGAGACAATAGTCAATATCAAATCACATAAAGAGGCAGTCAATGATGGCTTCAGCAAGCTCCCAAAATAAAAAATCAACAAATTCTCTGGAGGAAGAGAATTTTTTGGAATTACCAGAGGCAGAATACAAAAGATTAATGTACAGAACTCTTCTAGAAATTAGAAAGGAAATTTGTCAAAATGTACAGACAGCCAAAGAAAACAAAGTAGTAGCAGAACTTAAAAAAGTTATTCAAGAACCTAATGACAAATTTAACAGGCTGCAAGAATCCATAAAGAGACAGCAATCAGAAATCCAGAAGATTAATAATAAAATTTTAGACAACTCAACAGAAAATCACAAGAGCAGAACTGAGGCAGTAGAAGTAAGAATTAGTGACACTGAAGACAAAGAACTTGATGCCAACTTATTTGAGGATAAAAGAATTAAAAAGAATGAAGAAACTCTAAGAGTTATGTGGGACTCTATCAAGGGAAATAACCTACGAGTGATTGGAGTACCAGAACAGGGAGGGGGTGATAACAGAGAATACAGAGAAAATTGTTGAAGATTTGTTGACAGAAAACTTCCTTAATATCATGAAAGATGAGAAGATATCTATCCAAGAAGCTCATTGAACCCCACATAAGGTAGATCTCCCCCAAAAAAGTCACCAAGACATAGTGTAATCAAACTTACTAAAACCAAAGATAAAGAGAGAATTTTAAGAGTGGCTAAGGATAAAAGAAAAGTCGTCTACAAAGGAGAGTCAATTAGAATAAGCTTGGACTCCTCAGTAGAAACCATGCAGGAAAGAAGGCAAGGGGATGATATACATAAAGCCTTGAAGGAAAACTGCCAGCCAAGAATTATATATCCAGCAAAACTGTCTCTCAAATATGATGGTGACATTGGGGCATTTCCAGATAAACAGAAGTTCAGAGAATTTGCAAAAACCAAACCAACATTACAAGAAATACTAAAGGGAGTCCTCCGGTTAGAAAATCAATAACATCAGATGACAAGGCAAGACTAGAACACAGGACAGAGCAACCAGATATTGACTCAAATAGGGAAGTTGAAAATACATCAAAGCTAAAACATTGAAAATAAGGAAACAGAGATATCAATATGTAAAAAAGGACAACATTAAAACAAAAGAGAGGGACTTAAAAATGCAGACGTAGATTTTTCATATGGAGAGAAAGTCAAGGCGATATAAAGAAATAAAAGACATGTATAAACGTAGAAAAATAGGGGTAACTATTAAGGTAATCACAAAGGAAACTAACAATCCTACAAATCAAAAAAAAAAACTAGAAAAATATAAAGACTCAGCAAACACAAAATCAACAACAATGAAAAAGATTTAAAAAAATACATAAAGAAAAACGACTCAGCACAGAAAATTAAGGGGAAGAAAGAAACTCTGAACAACACACAAAAAGAGACATCAGGATGACAGCACTAAACTCATACCTATCAATATTATGCTGAATGTAAATGGACTAAATGTACCAATAAAGAGACAGAGAGTGGCAGATTGGATAAAAAGCATGATCCATCTATATGCTGCCTACAGGAGACACACCTTAGACTTAAAGACACAAACAAGCTAAAACTCAAAGGATGGAAAAAAATATATCAAGCAAACAACACTCAAAAAAGAGCAAGAGTGGCAATATTAATCTCTGACAGAATAGACATTAAAATCCACAGCAAAGGATAAGGAAGGGCACTATATAATGATTAAAGGGTCAATACACCAGGAGGACATAACTATAATAAATATTTATGCACCCAACAGAGCTCCAAAATACACAAAACAAACTCTAACAGCACTGAAAAGAGAGATAGACAGCATCACAATAGTAGTAGGAGACTTCAACATGCCACTTTCAATGAAGGACAGAACATCCAGAAAGAAGCTCAACAAAGACACGGAAGACATAATGTTACAATCAACCAACTTCATCTCATAGACATATACTGAACATTGTACCCAACCACAGCCAAGTATATTTTCTTTTCCAAGGCGCATGGAACCATCTCCAGAATAGACCACATATTAGGTCATAAAGTAAGCCTTAACAAAATCCAAAACATCAAAATATTACAAAGCATCTTTTCTGACCATAAAGCCATAAAAGTAGAAATCAACAAAACAAAAAGCAAGGAAAAAAAAATCAAACACATGGAAACTGAACAACACCTTGCTCAAAAACTACTGGGTTATAGAAGAAATTAAGGATGGAATAAAGAAATTC